CATGTAAATATGCAAGCTTGAACTGATTTTGAGCTCAAATTGCTTACAAATGAAAAAAAAACCACAATAAAGAACCATATATATATATAGTGAACAAAATGAGATAAGACAATGGTGAAAAATGAGAGTATGAAATTGGTAACCTTTACAACTGAAGAATCGACGGAGAAATCGACGGAGGAATCGAAGAATGGATGGAGGAACAATGGAGGGAGGGAGGAAGCAAGAACACTAGTGCAGTGAGCTTCAAAATGTGCTGAGCTCAGGCTCGGGGAGGAAGAAGGAGACGACCAGGATATAAAGGGGGGACCTTTAGCCCCGGTTGGTGGCTCCAACCGGGACTAAAGGTAACTTTCCAACTCCGGGCGCAGCCACGGCTCGAGTAGACCTTTACTCCCGGTTGGAGCCACCAACCGAGTAAAAATGTATACTACTAGTCTCTCGGTTGGTGGCTCTAACCGGGACTAAAGGTCCCTGCCACCTCTGCCTGGCGCAGTAGCCATTGGGCAGGGACCTTTAGTCCCGGTTGGAGCCACCAACCGGGACTAAAGGTATCTCTAGTCCCGGGCGCAAAAAATACCGGGACTAGAGCCCATTTTGGCCGAGGATCAAAGGTCTGTTCTCTACTAGTGAGCAGTGGAGATGGAAGTTGACGTCCTACCGTGCCCCGCACCGCAACAGCATGCTACATACGGCTCGCACTGAAATTACTGCCACAGCTTAAGCCGACAAAACACGTATCATGCCCCCCTCCCTCCCATGCATGGCTCTAGAAATTAAGAGCCCGTTTGGAGGGGCTTCTCCTGGCTCCGGCTCCGGCACTGTAGCACTACTGTGGCGGAGTCGGGAGAAGCTCCAAATGTGCTGTTCCTCCGGCTCCTCTTCTTTCTAGTTCATTTTTTGAGGAGCCGGAGCCATTTTTGTTGTCATGCTACCGTAAAAACAGTGTTGCACAGTGTCTTAAGAGTAGGAGCCGGAGCACTAAGAGCCGCACCAAACGGGCTCTGAAGCACACCACGCCGAATCATGGCGCTCGTGCTTTGCCTCAAAAGCTAGCAAGGGCCTCCGCCCTATCCTATCATCGTCAGTCACCCAATGCATGGATCCAACTCTCTATCTACACATCGCAGGGCAGCATCGGTGGATCGAGCGAGAGCGAGACCATGCTAGATAGCTTAGCTACGACAAGTACTCAGCGTGTTTGGCTGGTAGACTGCATAGTGGATTTCGGATAGTTTTGGATGATTCAATAGTATTCTGTGAGAGAGAATAAGCTGAAACAATCCATAACATAACCAGCCGAACACGTTGACTCCCTCCATCCCATAATACATGACCCTGTGGCGTTCAAAATTTGTCTCACAAACCAAGACGTTATAGCCATCCCAGCCTAAGATGACGTCCCATCAGTCCATCCATCAGTCTGTTCGATTGGCTACTGTTTATCGTATGCGATCGTAAATTTTCAGTTAAAATAGTATTTTTTTCTCACACAAAACAGCCAATAGTATTTTTTCATAAACCAGCAACGAAACGAACCAAACTACCGAACAGGATGCTTGCTTCCTCAGCTACTATTTCCGTCACCAGGAGGTGAGAAAAACAGAGAGGTGACCGGTGCTGTGGTGTATGTCAAATCAGAAAAGTAGCAGGTCTGTAAGGGTAATACAGATATTTATCCTCCTCCCTGATCTACGTGACTAAAAAACGCGAAGCATATGATCGTACGTCCACCACGCGGGCACGCGGCGCCTAACTTTGTTCGGAACGACCATAAAATACGTCATGCTTTGCGCTTACCCTTTTTCATGGGGTCAGTATAGAGAAATGGCCTCTCAGGAACTTTCTAGAAGTACGTGAGAATCTCATCTGCCCAATGAAAGAATTAATTACACCAGCACCAAGGGGACACACATATGGACTGCATGCCCCATGCCAGGAGGTTGGTTAAAAATTTTACAGCACAATCATTCGTCTACATGCATACGCTACTTAAGGGTGTGTTTGTGTTTGATTACTTTCACAGCCGTGCATCGTATATCTTGCATTAGTAGACTGAATGGATACTATTTAGTTTGTAATCCTCTGTAAAGTTATTTGGTTGCCAGTATGGGTAGATACAAGGAATCTTCCTAATAGGATGATACTTGGGCCATCACAAGATGCTGCATCGTCCATCTAGACAAGATGAATAGTGAAACTCATTTGGGGGCCGTTCGCTTGAGATTATCAGCCAGAATCGGTCCTACTTTTCAGTCATGCGAACATCGTTTTTCTCTCATAACAAATCAGCCGCAGCAACAATAAGTTCTGCCGAATAAGGCTTTTGAGCGTATCCACTGAGACAGGGTGAGGATGTATTCCTGCATCCACTCAGCAACGAGATATAGGCTTACACATCCACCCATGGCATCAAGTATGAAGGCGAATGTAGCCAACCAAACACACCTTAACGGTATATATATAAAAAGTTGTACTCTCTTCGTTCCAAATTATCATTTTTGCTTTTTAGATGCATAATATTTATTTTATATTTAGATTATAATATATATCTAGATGCATAGCAAAGCTACGTATTAAAAAAAACCATAGCGGATTAATTACAATAGCATACTACAGCACTAGATTTTGCAGGCTTGTAGCTACAGATCCAGAACCCTAGCACGTGCCCTCGGCCTAATGTTCCCTTAACGGATCTAAGAAAAGCGCTGTTTTTTTTTCACCTCACTACTGCAGGATATATGTCAAGCAGTGAACCTTTTCTTGTGTGCAGGCACGGGCCCACTGCACTCGTAATTTATGTATACTCTCGTGACGGTCACTAGCAAGTAATATGTGAGACTGCAAATCTGCAACACTGCAAAGGGTTGAGAAAGAAAAGCAGACCTGTGGGAATGTGCTTTCATCATTTTCATATTCATATACTGGCAAAGCGATGCTATTTTCATGGCCTTGCATGTGCAGCGAGAGAGCACCTTTCAATCGCAGTGGCACCAAACCAAGCCTTGCCATTTGCCAAAGCATATACCTTGCGGTAACATTGCTATGATACTTAGCTAGATGGCGCGCGAGATCGATCTTTTTCTTGCCATTTCAGGGCAGCGACATGCATGTCAAACCTGGCTGAGCGACAGCAACAGCTTTGGACGTATACATGTAGTGAACCATGATACAAGAGCTGGCCAGCTATTTCAGTCGTCGGTGGTGTGAGTGGATGAACTGTAGGCGTGGCATATGCATGTATCTTAGGGGTGTTTGATCCGGTGACTATATTTTAGGAGGTATGTCGGGAGAATGTTGCATGGGGTATTTGGATACTAATAAAAAAATAAATTACATAATCCGTCGGTACTCCATGAGACAAATTTTTTAAGCCTAACCAATCCGTCATTAGCACATGTTTATTGTAGCAAAACATTGTCAAATCATGGACTACTTAGGCTTAAAAGATTCGTCTCGCATATTAGTCGCAAACTATGCAATTAGTTTCGTAATTAGTTTATATTTAATACTCCATGCATGCGTCCAAACATTCAATGGGACAGCGACTAAAATTTAGGAGGGCAACCAAACACCCCCTTAGCAAGTAGTAGTTCTTGCCTATTGCTGAGGAGCTCACTCGAGCTGCATTGCTGCATGTTAAAAAACATGCCTTTGCTCAGATGAATGCACATGCTTCTCGTCGTCGTCAGCCATTTGTGGGTGGCGGGTGGGCAACATCCTCTCCCTTTCCTTCTGCAGGACCGCGTATACTGTATTCGTCCCCTAGCCCAAAACCTTTTCACACTACACTTGCTCCTTGAAGAATGAGTGGGTGTAGTGTGTCAAGCGTTGGAGTAGGAGTACTACTCAAAATTTCTGCTACTTCGCTTTGCATAGGGCAGAACGAGAGGACATGATGAAATGCGGCTCTGGGTAAGGTAAAACCAGAGCCGAAATGCACAAAAGCATACTAACGATTCCAATTAGTTGGGCCTCGTTCTTAATCACTTTAGCCCTAAAAGGAGGCCTGGTATTTTTTTCCCTGAAAAAAAAGAAAGAAAATCCTACAAGGTGGCAGATGTTTTGTTCAGTTCCAATCCGATCTTAATCCATTAGTTCACCTTCACGTTACACTTCACCTTCTTATCATCCTGTTCTTTAGCAATACTTTTCAGCGAAGGAACAATGTTTTTCTCTCGTAACATATCAGCATCAACATCGGCATCAGCATAAGCCAAATTTCAGCGAAACAAGCGAACAGGGCCATATCTTCAGTTCAACACATTGGACAAGTTTCCTCATGATAAAGAAAGAAAATATTTGAGTATGTATATAGGTTGTTGAGGGTAAGTGGATGCAGAACTATTGGGAGGCCGGAAGCAAATTTTATTTTTTCTTTGAAAAAATATAGGTCGTTGACGGATGGAATATTATGCCATAAATTGGAGTTTGCTGATAGAATTATAATGACAGCTAGATTAATTTTACCTCCGACGAGGGTAAAGTGGGCATGTGCCCGTGTGAGACTGATCAGATCGCATGCTCAAGAACAAATGTGTGTGGTGTGGGGAACGGGAATATGCTCCTACTGATGAACCCATCTCTACTTGTATATATACTATCTTTCCCCTACGCAGCATTCTGTGTTGTGCAGCTGTGCTTGATCCACGTCGTTTGATCTCGGCGAGCTGCACAAACGTCACATGCTTCTTCTTGCTACTTCAGTGCAGAAAATACTGGTATATGCAACGACGCAAATGCACCTGCTCCACCAAGGGCCCGCCCTAGTAGCTATTCACGGCTCTATCCATTCCATGCCGAGCGTCGGCAGGTTCAGACTGGCCCGTGCTGGACCAGTGAGCGGTGAGTGACCAACGGGGAAGCCTCCCGCGCCACCCCCTCCTCCGTGTATATAAGCAGTGGCAGGGTGAGCGTCTCTCCTCAGACCACCACTCCACAGTGGGCAGCTAGAGCCAAGCAGAGAAGAGCTTGGAGTGAGTGAACGAGAGTGAGAGAGGATGGGTGGCAAGGCCGCTCTGCTGCTGGCCCTGGTGGCCGTGAGCCTGGCCGTGGAGATCCAGGCCGACGCCGGCTACGGCTACGGCGGCGGCTACCCGACGCCGACGCCGCCGGCCACCCCCACCCCGAAGCCGGAGAAGCCGCCCAAGGAGCACAAGCCGACTCCGCCCACCTACACCCCGAGCCCCAAGCCCACGCCGCCGGCAACCCCCAAGCCGACGCCACCGACGTACACTCCCACTCCGACGCCCCCCAAGCCGTCTCCGCCCAAGCGCACGCCGCCGACCTACACCCCGACCCCGACGAAGCCCACACCAAAGCCCACTCCTCCGACGTACACCCCCAGCCCCAAGCCACCAACCTACCCGACACCGAAGCCAACTCCACCGACGTACACCCCTACCCCCAAGCCACCGGCTACCAAGCCTCCGACACCCAAGCCGACACCGCCGACGTACACCCCGACGCCGAAGCCACCGGCTACCAAGCCGCCAACCCACCCGACACCCAAGCCTACCCCACCGACTTACACACCGAGCCCCAAGCCACCGGCTACCAAGCCTCCGACGCCCAAGCCGACCCCGCCGGTGTACACTCCGAGCCCCAAGCCACCGGTCACCAAGCCGCCAACGTACCCGACGCCCAAGCCGGCCCCGCCGACGTACACTCCCACACCCAAGCCACCGGCTACCAAGCCGCCCACATACACTCCCACGCCGCCGGCGTACAAGCCCCCGACCACCACTCCACCGGCTACCAAGCCGCCGACCTACACGCCGATCCCCAAGCCGACGCCGCCAACCTACAAGCCGGCGCCGCCAGCGTACAAGCCCCCGACCCCTACTCCACCGGGGTACAAGCCGCCGACCCCTACCCCGCCGGCGTACAAGCAGCCGCCGGGGTCTCACACCCCCAGCCCGCCGCCGCCTTACTACTAGAAGAAGTGAGGTCTACCACTCTGCTGTCAATCTCTCGGAGCATTAGGTACGTACAAGAATGGAGCATACGCATATGCTTGCACACACAAACATTTTCTATTCTATGCTTGTGTCAAGAAAATGTGTCGTAGTTTCCTCTCCTTCAAGTTTGTCTAATGGGTACGTACTCTCCTACTAACAATCGCTCGGTTCCCCTTTTTGTGTTGCAGAAGGTGATCGATCGAAGAGAGTTGTGTCGTAGCCAGCCGGGCCAAGATGAGCTGCTGATGATGAGAGGCGAGTCGCCGAGTCCTACACTACTCTATGTGTGCTGCCATCCATAGTGTGCTGCCATCCATCCCCGCTAGTAGAGGAGAATAATGCAGAGCTCTGCTCCCTTTGTTTCCTGTCCTCCCGTTTTAGTTTTGTGTTCGTCAATGTGTTAGCAGGTGTATTTGTGTGGGTAATGGTATTGCAACTATTGGTGTAAAACCGAAATAGATGTGGAAAATGCAACAAAAAGATACTTCTAGTGTTTTAATAATTCTTCTGCAGTCTGCACTGCACCGTATGGCCTTCTCCCTTGCTGGCATTGGAGCTCTTTTCAGCGGTGACGTGACGAGATGTGTGATGTTTCAGTATCAGAGATGCTCGATACTCCTGCACGGACGCACCGCACACGGGTACACGTACACCACTATAGTAGTACTCCTACACAGTAAAAAAGACTGCGGGGCCAACGTTCGCGTTGGTGCAGCAAGCATGGCTGCAAGTCTGCGGCGACGTGAGCTGTCACGCGCTGCCTACCTATCCCCCTGCTCTGCAGAGTGCAGAGCCCCCGTGCCATGCCGATTGCCCAAACCCAAAGGTCCTGGAGTGTACAGATGCGTCTAGGTGCATTCCAGACGCATCTAGACGGTGAATGCACCTTGCCTAGATAAATCGAGATGCTTGCATTCCAGACTCCTACTACGGACGGAAGCACAGCTATTGGAGCAGAAGTGCGATGGACTGAGGCCGGTTCGTTTTGAGAAATTCCGACGAATTTGGATGGTTTGGATGAATGCGGAATTTATGAGAAAAAAATATTATTTTGAATAAAAAAAAAGCGGATCAAGCCGCCTGTGAAGACACACGAACGGGGCCAGAAAGATGCATCCACCGTGCGGAGCAGGACAAATCGAGATGCTTGCCGTGTCGATCTTCTAGGTCAAATGCGGTTCGGTACGGTGTTGTTATTAATCTGTTTCATTCACAGATCACAGACGATGTTGCTAGATTAACTGTATGTTTAGTTTCCAAAATTTTGCAAAATTTTTCAAGATTCTTCGTCACATCGAATCTTTAACGCATGCATAAAGCATTAAATATAAATAAAAAATAAAACTAATTACACAGTTTAGATGAAATTTACGAGATAAATCTTTTAAGCCTAATTAGACTATGATTGGACACTAATTGTCAAATAACAACGAAAGTGCTGCAGTACAATTTCCTAAAAAATTTCACCAACTAAACGAGGTCTAAAGGGTTAATGACGCAAGTCTCACGGCAAATTGCAACCAGAGTGAGATACATGCCCCCACATTTCCTACTCCTACTAGTAGCAATGAAAGGCAGCATGGACGCATGGTGCCAAGAGAAAGCAATTAAACAAGAACACTGGGGTTTTTTACCTGCAAAAAGAAAAGAAAAAAAAGAGGAACGCTAGCTAGTCAGTGAATAAAAAAGTTGCTACACGGACGCTGGTGTACGGCATGATTACTTTACCTTACCCATTGCTGTAAACTTATAACCATTTTATTTTCTTTCCCCGTGTTAAAAAGATTACCAGTATTCCGTACATATTACACAGTGCATGAGATAAGGAGATTGGGATATTATCATGACGGTCTAGATATATGAAGGGCATATAATAATTTTAGTAAAAATCCAAGAGACCTGCGGAGTGGGCCATGTGGCCGGCTCGGAAATCTCCAGCTATAGTCCTTTCCGAAACTAATCATATTTTCGCACAGTACACCACATTTACACGTGAATTTATGCCGCCCACGGTCGACTTGAGTTCACACGGATGAGATATCGTTTTCGGTGCGGCGGTGCGGCCACATGCTCACATCACATGCGCATGTCGATGGATGTCAGAGAGAAAAATAGTTTTAACCTCACAGAGAGAGCTTTGCCTTGCCATACCTCTCACTGCAAAAAAAAGGTGGCAGGAACATGCAAAAGTAGCAGGAAGAAAACAATTGTGCTCACGCTAAAAGAAAAAAAAATCTCATTGAATCTGAATATATTATTCGTTCAGTAAGAATTTGGATTTTTGCTGGGGCAGCTCGATATACAGAAGGGTTGAAAATCGAGTTAATTCAGAGTTACAACGTGCGGAAAACTGAGTTACGGTGACCCCAGCGAGAAAACTGAAAAGTAAACAGCGCCGCGTGTGGAGTGTGTAGAATGCGGTGAGAAAGCAGTACAACTAGTAGTACATCGAGCATGAGAAAGGAAAACATGCTTTCATTTTAGTGGCAACGTGGCTCGTGTCCTCCCTGTGCCGAACATTTTAGCAGCCGATGAGAAAAGCCCAAAAGGAGCCGTGTACGTGCAGACAGGGTAAAAAACGTATAGGGTACCAGTAGATGGTGCGCCTGTCCTGCTCCTGCCCGGAAACTCACGCCGTAGAAGGTTGAATTGACTTACGGTGAATATGACCTGTCAAAAGGTAAACCAAACCTTACAGCGTGCTTTTTACTGACTGTCGTTTAGTACATCTGCCCTGGAAGAATACAATCACAGCACGGCGTCACATCTTAGTTTGACTAATAATATATAAAAAATATCCATATTTATAATACCAAATAAATACCATCAAATTAATTATAAAATATATTTTTATAATAAATTAATTTAAAGATATAATTATAAATATTATTAACTAAAAATTTGGTGAAACGTGAACCATTTTTCGTGACACACAGCTCATAATTACATTTTTTTTTTTGGGCGGAGATAGTAATGGCCTAGAGCGAGTCATTAGTCAGGGCATCCATAACTAGCTAGCTACTAGCGGTTATTATAATGACAAAAATACTTGCCGTTTATCAAATTGAGACATTGTCCCATAAGAATTGAGCTGAGCTGCTGATAGTTTGTGCGGTTGATAAGTCGGCTAAAGCTGATTTATTGCAAGAGAAAACCACTATATCACGGCAGATAAGTGTGCTTCCCAGCAAAAAAAATTAACAGCCGTTGATCTGAAAAAATATAATTAAATATTCTTAAAGTTAGTTTAGTATTTCCCTCCTCTTCTTCCTAACATATACAGTTACCTTATCCTGATTCATGAACCGGAGGCCCCGAATAACACAGCCACATAGCTCAATCCGCCGACAATGTCACTGCTGCCTTGCGTCGTCTTCGCACAGCCTCCTACAGGGGTCGCCCACCTAATTCGATCACCCATCACGGCGCGAGGGACTCCGGGATGCTCTAAATCGGTGGGCTGCAGCGGACTGCCTGCTCCGCGGCGGCCAGGCGCTGCCGCCGCGAGGGGTGGCCGTAAGATTCACAGTCCCACCATGGTTTTGGAGAGGATGGAGTACAGCAGGTGTGGTACAGTACAATACAGACTGCACTGCAGACGCCGAGACCGGCAGTGCAGGAGCAGGAAACCCGCAAGCCCCACCGCCCGCCACACAAGAAACAACAAACAAGCAGGCGAGGCGGGGCCCTCCCACCATTTTTTTTTTTTGACAACAGGGCCCTCCCACCATTGAGTCACGCTGAGATCGAGCGGTGGATCGGGGTCGGGGCCGTGACACCGGGGGTTGGAGCGGAACGGCGCATGATCAGTCTTGTGATGGCAACGGCAGGCATGGAGCCGGGCCCGGGGCTTTGACCTCCGCAGGCCGCCGAAGCCGCCGGGAGGGAGCGCATCGCATTTACGCCGACACGACACCACCGGGGAACACGGCCGTCGTGGCGGGGACGGAGGACGCGCGGGTCAGGACAGGCGGACGCGACCAGGAAGCAGCAATTACTTATTTTTATGCGAGTGCGATGCGGAGAATGAAACGAGCGCGCCCGGCGCGTTGATTGCGGGTTTCAGATTTGGGATGGCACTCAAGTTCAAATCTACTTAGGTCTTTATCTCCTTAAAATTTACTCTCTATCTCATCAAATATTTACACATGTATATAGAGTATCAAATGAATATTTTAAGCTTAATTAGTCTATAATTTAGCAATGTGGTGCTACAGTACACACATGTGCTAATGGCGGATTAATTAGGCTTAATAAATTCGTCTCACAGATTATTGATGGATTCTGTAATTTGCTTTTTATTAGTATCCGATCACCCCCATACGACACCTCAGCGTGACATCCGATGTGACATTCTAAAACTTTGCGTCCTGGATTTAAACAAGACCTCGCTGTCTGCACCCTCCATTCCATGCACGCAGTGCATAGACAACAACCATGTTCGTTTCTCTTATAATCCGTCTTTTTCAGCTTAAATTTTTAGCCGAAATAATGTTTTCTTTTACAATAAATCAATCGAAACAGTGTTTCGGTTTTTTTTCAATGAAATGAACGGAGCCAACGATGTAGGTCCTATTCACTTGTCTTATGAGCCGTGCTGTTTCGGCGATCAGCAAAGCGAACAGGCCATAGAGTGTTTTTTCAGGAACGAAAAAGACTGCTACAATTTCACGTAGTACCACTTTACTGACGCATAGTGTTTTTGCAGTGAGGTTAACCAGGTAATTTGCCATGTCTGCTATTTTTTTCTTGGGAAGCTCCGGCGTCCACCTTTCGGAGACCGAGGGACTGAGGGAGTACCGCTGATTTTGGCTGATAAACTCAACGAACTGAACCTAAGCGTTACAGGAAAAAAAAATAAGCAGACGTCGTTCCAGATCTATGCAACTGCGCAGCGAGTCGTGATGGGATCCACCTAAAGCACTACGTACCCCGTACACGCATTGCCTTTCCGGCTGACCGTGCGTCCGTGCCATTGC